TGCGCCGCCCTTCCACCGGAGGATCCCCCCGGCGAGATCCGCGCCGCGCTCAGAGGAGCTCGGAGAAAGGCGGCGAGAAGCTGCCCGCTTTCCTGCGGAGGCCTGGAAAGCGGCGCGCGCTGCCGCTCCCGTTCCGGCAGGAAGCGAAATAGTTCTCAAACTTTATCCTCTGGCAGGTTGGCGGGGCTGCCTGCAGCTGGAGCATCCTCAGGAAACCGGTTTGGGTAGCCCTCTCCCGAACCCCTTGGTTTGCCGAATCCTGAGACGCGAAGATGGATGATCTGGATCCCATTGGATGTACGGCCTTCGAGCCCTTCAGGGCAGGGATTGACTGTTGATATATTGCTCGCTGTGCTGCTGACGCTCAGTAAAATAGCTGCCCTTCTCCCTGTCCGAGGGCGGCCTGTCTCTTCTGTTCCCAGGCTGGTAGCTTGGCCTGCAACGGTATTATGTTCGCAGCAGCCGGTATGAATAGGAAGTAATAACAATGAAAGATCTTTTAAGAGAAAATAGAAACGTTAAGACCAGCTGTTGCCAGGATTTCTCAGTGTCGGGATCTGCTTGCTGCTTCTTTCGTAGGAGCTTCCTTTGAGTCTGTAAACGTAGGGTAGCTCTTTCTCCTTCTGGTGATAACTTGGCTAAAAACAGAGGAGTTTGTTAAAGCTGCATTTCTGATCCTGTATTGGACTTGCTGAATATCTCCAGTTTTATTCGCTCTGTCTCCCGGTGTTGTTGGCATAAAGCTAGAAAGCCAAATTAGGGTAGAGCAATGCTTTCTCTGTCCAGCAGGCAAGAAGGCAGAGCATGGACTGTTTTCTTTCCGTAATGAAAATGAGACTGTTTCAAACTGTCATAGGGTGGCAGGACCATGTGGTGTGATGTTAGTGGTATTAAGAAAAGACTTAGCAATGAGTTCACTAATATGGCAATCAAGCGAGGCTCCTGAGATCCTTTAGCTGCTAATATTTAGGGGTCTAATATTGGGAGAATTATCAGGCTGTGGCTGGAAGACAATTTAAATAAAAAGCCATTAAAAAGTTAGCTATTGCACAAGCATTGCAGCTAAGTCATCTAGAATGATGTTTAATCTTGGTGCAGAGGGACATATTTCAGCAATAGTAATTTCTCATCATTAAGCATATGATGTAGTTTGAATTTTAGTGCTGAAGGAGTGGTAGGCTCTTTGTTTGCTTTTTTATGTCTGAGCAGGTGTGCCTGGGAGCAGCCAGCAGCAGGCTCTGATGATAGCATTTCCTTTCCCTTCTTATCTTTGAGTCACAAACTTGAGGTGTTTGGTCTGCTGTCCCTTTTTTGCCTTCTCAGCTGAGATGCATGTGAGTCCACTGAAGTGACTGGAATTTGAGTTGTCTGAGTGTCAGGATTTCAACCCTCGCTAGTGACAGCTGTTACTTTTTCCTTTAGCTCTGTACTCTGCATGCCATCACTGCACCACTGGGTCAAAAATAAAAGACTTTTTGGTGACCTACATAATTCTCCCCACAAAATGGGATGACTTCAGAATGGCTCCCTCTGGTAAAGTTTTTTCCTTGCTTTGGCTGGGCCATCTTAAATCGTTCCAACTAATAGCTAGTAGTTTTGAAAGCTTTTTTTTTTTTTTAACGTAGAGGTATTGAAATACAAAGGGAAGGTCCTTACAAGCGCTCTCATGTATACATAGAGAAGTTTAGAACAGAGCCAGTGACTAATTGAGTTGCACAGAAAATCCTGTCAGAGGACTGGGAAGAAACCGAAAGTCCCGACTCGTGGGTTCCTGTGCTCTGCCTCTGCTTGCTGCCTTCCAGGGTACTGTAATGTGTGCTTTAGTTACAAGAAATGCAAAGTTAACATTTGCTTTTTCCAAGGGGAGGAGGAAACAGTAGCTTCTGCAGTATTTCTGAGATTTCTCCTGTGCAGTGACTCTGTGCTCATTTAATATATAAAATCAAATTCAAGTTAGCAAAGGTTTCCTCAATTAAGGGAAAAAAGGAAAAAAAAAAAGCTGTTGGAATTTTCTTTGTTAAAGTGTTTCATGCTCAAACTTGGTGCTGATTTTGACACCTCTTGTATCTCCTTTGTGCCCAGACATGCTCTAGGTCTCATGTTCTGCTTCAAGAGCCCTGTAGTTCTTATTTTACTTGTAAGGCTGTTAAATTCTTGCACAGAAAATTAGCCCTTGCAGCCACAAGATCCACTGCCAGACGTGCAACTGCCCTGCAGTGTGGCTTGTAGGATGCAGCCCTGCCCTGAGCACAGGCTATCGTACACCTATATTGGCTAAACTTATTTGCAAAAGAAACCGTGTTGCCTTGCGTGTCTGTGAAGTGCTCTGGTGTCATTGTGCGCCCTGCACAAGCCATGAGTAATATGCTGGATCCTATGTCAGGCCCGTGCGGGAGCCCTGCATTTCCCTACTTGACCAGAACGCAGAAGGCTCGTGCAACCGGAGGCAGCAACATTTGGTCCAGCAGCGTCTTCCAAGGTGAGGGTGTAATCTGCCAAGCCAAACAGGATTTCGTTGTTTATCGGTTTGTGAGAAGGGGAAGGGCATTTGTAAAGGAGGCGAGCAGCCAGTGTTATTTGAGATGCTGCTGGCTGTGACTGGTCGGGCTCTTGTGAAGAGGGTATGGGATGATTTCAGGAGTTGGCTCCCTGGTGCATTTCTGAGATCTTGTGCCACTGAGAAGTGCTGGCATTGGCTGGGAGAGCAGCCAGGGGCTGTGAGAACAGTCTCAGTAGCGCAGCAAAGATTTTTAGTGGCGGTTGATGTGTGGGAGAAGAAAATGTATGTGTGCTTAATAAATATTGGCACAGAGCAAGAGCTTATCAGCTAATTCAGTGCTTCAGCTTCTGGAAGGCAGGGTTGTTCCTGCCACATTGGAAAGAATCCCTTCAAATCAAGGGATAAATAGAAAATTAACATTAAAAAACATTTTTAATGGTATGAATGTATTGCTGACTTAGCTGAAGGACAGAGTTTCTGTCTACCTTCCCGAGTCAGTACAAGACAGGCAGCTATAGTATTTGCTTCTCCTCACAGCCCGGGCCCCATGCACTGTCCAAGCAGAGATTGTTTCATGTGTAGAAAACTGCTCAGAATGGA